CAAGGTTATCATAAAATGTATCCCTTGGTTTTTAATATCGAATTATGGTGCATCAGAAACTATATTTTTGCACAAAACGAGTACAAACTAGAGAATATTTTACGGAATTTAGAAGATTATGTTGAATTTGACACTATAGGGATTCATAGTTGAGGGGGTGATTGTAATTACCAAAACATACCGATTTTTTTCGTAATTTGACCTTATCTCAGGGGTGGACGTAATTTACACTTTTTTTAAAGGAGAGTTTGATGGGCTTTTTAACACACAGTTGTCAGATAGTCTCAGTTATTTGGTAAAATCGCATTTCACCTATGTGTGACATAATGTTCATCCTTTCTCTTACATGCACATTCATTTATTTAAATTATTCAAACTTTCTTAACCGAAAAAAAAAGAAAAAAAAGGAAAAATAATATCACATATTCGTTCGACTGCTTCTGCCGAGCATTTCTTCGACTGGAGATTTAATTCATCGTATTATAGAGCCTCAAATAGTACGATGAAATGTGACTCAAATCAAATAATAGGACGGAAATGCAAGATCCAGTTATACGTGCCTATGTTACAGCCATGCATTTTGGTCCAGAAAAAAATTGGTGACTCACCATCTGGAAGTGTGCAGAACCGAGCTAAACCGGGTGGCGGTTTACAATATGATCAACCGAACTATCTGCCCAAGAAACCGAAACGCTTTTGTTGCTTCTCTCAAGCATTTGTTTTTCTCATCTCTAGACCAGTGCTGCGCAACATATTTACAAAAATAAATAAATAAACGATAGGAAATCATTAGGCAGTGCATCTGTGGTTAATAATAAAAAAGAATTTGACTTGCCTCTCCAAGTGCATTAAGATTCTGACGAACGCCTCTCAACAACTCTTCTGAATCTCCCTCCCATTTATAGAACTCGAGTTCTCGTTCTTCTAAGAGCTTCTTCGAGACCTAGCCATAGTAAAAGCTAAGTAATTACTATGCATGTGCATCTTCTGTCTGCAACAGATATAACATGAAGAAGACGAGAGTATTTATTTATTCAACTCCTCAAAAATGAAAATAACACCGGCAAATAGAAAGTTTTGGCCAAGGATTCAGCACTAGAGTAGAGATATATAGGGAACGCTTTGGGAACATAAATCAAGATAAGGACCGACACTTAGGCCTCGTTTGGTTGCTAAGATTAGTCATGATTAATTAAATAATTGGACTTTATTTGATGTTTAGTTAGTCCAATAGCTTTTCGGGCCGGGCCACAATTGTGGAAGAATTGGCCCTAATCTTAGCTAATGGGGAGATTATTTATTGGACCTCCCATGGTCTAACAATACAATTGGATTTTCATAAGATTATTTAATCACACATTGGCTAATATTATCTTAGGAACCAAACAAGCCCTTAAACTAAGTATCACCTGTTTGTTAATGTCTTCATCGATTTCTATGACCAAGTGACCGTTTATCCAAACAAGAAAAGAAAAACAGAAAGAAGCTCCTTAAACATTTTGCTTTATAACATGTTAATAAATAATAATCCATTACTTTTTATGCATAAATCCCACAAAACCAAAGGGTACTATAGAAGAGGTGCCGATTGAACAACAAGACGGATACTACGGGCCTCA